TGGGGGGGTTGATTTTTTTTTGGGGGGGGGGGTTGCATGTATGGCAGAAAGTTGTCCTAGACCCTTTTGATTATTGATGAACTAAAAGCCATTCACTGGCTTCCTGCCTCCCATTAGTTTGAGGACAGAGTTACCAATTGATCATGTTCTTGATGATGTCTCCTTCTAGTTTCTGCAGCATAGCAAAGCACAGATTGTAACTTTTATCATTAGACTTCATCCTCTTATTATACTTCTCTTGCCTGGCACTTGGTGTTTCCACTTTCCAGCATATCAAGCAACCCTTCTACCTTTGTTCTTCAAATTTCACCCATTTACTAGATCTGGTAGGACTTTGAGGAGCTAACTGAAGGAAAAGAGCAGTAATATATTCCAAGCAGTGGTGGCATTGCCTGAGGTAAAACTTGCTGAAGATCCCAGACAGGAAAGAAAGCAGCTGGTCCAAACTTCTGGCACAAAAATGTTTCCACCTGACAAGTGACGAGCAGGTTGGTAATGGGACAGAGTAGCAAAGCACAAGTCAGAGGGACGTGGAGTATTTTCCTTTCCTAGAAACTTGAGAGATGGTTTGGCATTTCTGTTGAATGAAAAGGTCTCATGCATCATTCCACAGGGGTGGACCAAAATTTGAATGAATGTACATTAGCTCAGAAGTTCCTACATTTTTTAATTGGGTACCCCCTTCCAGATTTATCAGCTGCCTGTGTACCCCTCCCAACATGCATTTTATATTTTAAACTCTTAAATGCCAATTATTACAACAAAAATTAAACATGCCATTACACCATTTTTCCCCATGTACCCCTCAGATGTCTTGCATACCCCCAGAGGAACATGCACCCCAGTTTGGGAACCCCTGCGGTATCCTCCAAGTGGTTCTCAAACTTTTTTTTTTGCGGACCACTTAATAAACTTTTGTTCAAAACAAAGCACACAACTCATATTTTAATATCAGTATTCTTACCTTACAAGTACAGATGTTCTCGATTTTTCTGCAACCTTTCTGCAGACCATCTGACTGGAGCTTGTGGACCAGTGGTAGTCCACAGACCACAGTTTGAGAACCTCTGCTCTAAAACATGCTCAACAGGCTGCTTTACTGGTTTTTTGTTGGGTTTTTTTTGGGGGGGGGGGGGGGGGGGGGGGGGGGGG